CTTTCCTTTATCACCAAACCTTTGTCTCTGGAACTTTGCCTAGAGGGTGGCGGCGGGCAGCAGGACCCCACTTGCTGTTCAGTCACAACTGTACATACCAATTTGCATTAAAAAAAGCAAGCATTGGCTTAATGGTTGACAGGAAGCTGGACTGTTAAAAATGCCAAAGTGAAGTTTTAACAACAAGGAGAAAAACACAAGCGAAAAAGGAGGAAGTGGAAAGCTGTTATCCTGTTTCAATGGTCACCACTAGCATCATGAATGGAGGGTCAACCACATTTTTAACTGACTGATGTGACACAAGATATATCCAGGGAAAGCAATTAGCATGGCCTGGGCTGTATGATAACACCAAAATGTTAAATGCCAATCCAGCCTTGCAATGGAACTTCTTTGCCATAAATACTGGGGATAAAAAAAAACAGGCCCCAAATCCAAAGAAACAGCCAGAAGTATCTAGTTTTCATATTTACATAGGCAAAACTGGTCTAGTCTCTTAAACAGATTGGTGTCATTAAAAAAAAAAGATTAGGCTTGATTATAAAAGAGACATAGCAGACATAACCAGATGAAATGTGAGGATGAACCAGTTATAATGGTGATTTGGGCATCAATTAAGGAAATATGAATATGTTCTGGGTATTAGATGAGACAAAGATTTACTGAAAAGGGATCTGGAGATTCACTACCTCAAAAAACCAAACAAACAAACAGGTTGTAAAACAGTATATAAAGTATGATCTCATTCAGGTTAAAATGCACATAAACACACAGAAAGCATATGTATTACAGTGTTATTGCTGATTTTCCTATGGTTGAATTATAATTTTTTATTTTATTTTAACCTGTCTAAATTTTCTCATTTTCCCCAATGGACAGATAACTGTTTCTGCAATAATAAAAGGTTATTTTTAAATGAATCACAATACAGGAATGGGCAAAAGTAGGTTTACAGTTGCACTGTGACATTCTGAGTTAATAAAGTTATTGCAATAATCATAGCCTGCATGTCTTTTTCAATACGAACTGTAAACCTACTTTGGCCCACCACTTTATATCAAACACACACACACACACACACACACACATTTAACATGATTCTCTATGTTATCCTACTACAACACTGGGATTTTAAAAATAAATGGTACCAATAGGTAATGAATTAATTTGCCAAACAGCTTGGAAAAAAGTTATTCTAATTCACTAATAGCAAAACCTGTCAGGCTAATTAATTTTGGGAATATTTACAATATCAGGAAATGTTTATAAATAGTATCTCAAGTGTACTGAAAAGAGAGTAAGTATATGTACTCAATAAATATATCTACTCATTTGTAAATAACTCAACACATGCATATATTTCCCTTTAAATTCAGCACCGTAAAAGGCAGACATGTTGTTTGCAATCTTCAGACACGTAGAAATAAAATTTCCATTCAGGAAAAAAACAGAGTCCATAGATTCTTTTCAAATCATCCCATATATAGAAGTCACTCTGATAGGGGAAATCAAGGTTTTAAAGATGTTAGCAACAGTCATAGTTGATAGGCTTAAGTGATTAATGCAGCTGTTACTCCAGGAACTGGAATGCAGGACCCACCTGACTAGGAGGTGGACAAGCAATTCAACCTTTGTGCCCCAGGAGGTCTACAAGCAATGAGATGGTATCTGAGACATTGTGTCCAGGGAGGGAAGTTATGACTGTGATAAAGAATTTGACCAGCAGATAAAGAATTACTAGGAAAATTGCCACAGGACTGCAAATCTTATCTGATTAACCTTTTCCCAAATCCCTTACCTACCCTTTCCTTCTCCCTATAATAAAGGTCGCATGAGATGAGTTGATTGTTTTTGAGGGTACACAATCCACTGTCTTCTCAGATTACTGGCATCTGAATAAAGCGCCCATAAAGATTCAATCCTTGTCTCTGTTCATTCTGGTAGTGAAAGGCAGCATGAACACAGACGTTTCTAGTTTCAAGAGGCGGGGGGGGGGGGGGAGGAAGGGAGGGATAGAGAGAGAGAGAGAAGGAAAAATGAACCCATTGTTAAAAAGATTGGTTTTATTCAGGGGTCATAAGGACCATTGTTAAGGGTCCAGTATACTAGTCATATTTTAATTGAAGAAAAACTAATTATAAACATTATCCTTTCACTTATATTGAAGTTCACATCTTAATCCATTTTCTTGAAGGTGAAGACTAATGTATTTTTTAAATAAAAGTGTTTAAAATAAATATTGTATGTTTAAAATAAAGACAAAAATGTTACTCAGAATAAAAAGGGTAACAACACGCTTGCCTGGGAAATTCAGGACTCCCTGGCAATGTGATACACCCTCTGCAAGATGACACATTGATCCATTGTATCAGCCTTTCAAACCCTATTTTCTCCCTGGATTTGTGGTCCATTTGCTGTCAGGCCGTAGGCTCTGGTGTGTGTTCATGTCCTGTATTCACTGCCTAACACCCAGTTATAGGAACACAGTGCCCACATAATGGAAAAATCCAGCTGTTACACCTCTTGTGAACTGATAATTTAACCTACATGGATGATACTTCAAATCTGAAACAGGCAGTCTTGGCTTAGAAGCTTTGAGTATTATCCATGCAGCCTCAGGCAATTTTACTACCCTGTTGCTGTTTCCTCATCTGTAAAACAGGAATGATAGGACCCACCTCTTAGAAATATTGGCAGGATTAGACGAATACATGGAAAATACTTAAAAGAGTGACTGGCTCTTAGTAAGCACTCAAATGTTACCTATTGTATTTACTATTACTCGACTATTGCTTACTTGGAATTAGTCCTACTTAATGTGTACTCCAATGAATGAGTTTTCAGTTTCAAAATTTCATGTAGACATCAAAGATTACAACCGACCAGGTAAGCGTACCTCCATGAGGGATTCTTAATATTTTGTGATCTAAGAACAGAATTTTTCTACTGGTGGTTCATTTATGGTCCAGGCTAGATGATCTGATCCAGTAGCTTCGGTACATAATATGAGTCAAGTTTAAAAGAGGTGGGGGGCGGGGTGCTTGGATAGAAGCTATTTAGATAAGCAAAACCCTCAACCCCTGCTCCGTTATTGTTCAAAGGTATTTGTGACAATGCTGCTGTTAGAGTATAAATTTCTTTAGAAAGAGCAGCATATAACCTTAACACTTACCATATTTCTAGAAATACAAGTCACATATGGCTCAATTCCATGAACATACCTGAGATACAGTTGACCAGAAATACCGTGGCTTGACTTTAATAGCCAGAAACCAATGACATTACCTCCACTGCTACCCCTGACCTAAGCCATCAGAGTATCTCACTGTAATTATTGCAATACTTTTAATCAGCCTCCCACACTAGCTATTATGCTTCTAAAAGTCACATCAGATAACTCCTCTGCTCAAGACCTTGTAGTACCCCATCTTCCTTAAAGTACTTTTTAACAAAAAAGCCTGTCTAGTCCCGAGCCTGCTAGCAACTTCACAAGCCTTCCTCACTCACTTCCTCTGACCTCTTCTCTACCTCCCTTTCCTGCTTTGCTCAAATGCCTGTCAGTGATGCCTATCCTATGTAAATATGCACATATTTACACATACCTAAGCATCTTCTATGCTATATTCTAGTTTTTCTCCATAACATTCATCACTAATACCGAAGTTCCTAAAGTGCAGTCCCCAGAACTTTCTAACAAGTTCCTAGGTGTTGCTGATACTGGGGGCCCAGAGGCCACACTTCGTGAACCACAGCTTCAACAGAACCTGTCTTCTCCCTCTCTCTTGATGCTTCTGATTTGGGTGGCGCTAAAAAACTCAACTTCAGGGACCACCAGACTACCTAAAGTGTTTCTTAAAACTTAAGCAAGCTAGGCCCCACACTTTGGGTTTCTGATTGGGTAGAACTGGGGCAGGGTAGGGCCGAGATTTTCATTTCTAATAATTACCCTTTGGAAACATGATAGTTTTTATTAAATTTATCTGTTTCCTCTCATTTGAATATAGTCTATGAATCAGTCATTTTTTCCCTTGTTTTAGAGTTTCTTCATGCATGACACTATCAGGAACAAAACAGCTGCTCAATAAATACAGGTTGAATGACTCAATGAAAACAGCTATCTTAATGTTACATCAGTAAATTTCTAACTTTATCTTCTCAGATTTTTTTTATGAAGAAATACGAAATTAAAAAAAATCTTTATAGTTAATCCCTCACGCAAGAGAGCATTTTTAAGCAATAGGCCACAGAGAAAACTTGGACTTCCTGATATTTGGGCAATAAATTAACAATTCATATTAATGTCACATTGTTAACAACAATAAACATGTATAGAATGCTACTATGTGCTGACCGCTTCACATCTACATCTTGTTTAGCTGTTATAACCAGCTCTGAGGTGGCTGGCGGTATTGCTTCCGGTTTACAGATAAGGACTGCCACACCCTGGCTTACTCATCAGGAGACTCCAGGGTTCCCACATTATCTTCTTCCTTCCCTTTGCTTTCCCCACTGGGAGTAACACAAAGGATGTGAAGTAAGAGGTGCCACTTTTCCTCTAGTGCAGACATATTCAGATTTGTATTACAATTTTTACCTCTTACAACAGTAATGACCATTCTAGCAATTTTTCTATTGCAAGGGAGTTCTAAAGTCAATGAGAGCACTGGATTTCTACAAATGCTGCAGGAATTAAGTTGTGAAAGACACGAACATTCTTCAGAAGGCATGTTATTTGGTGCTTGTTCTTGCAATAATTTACAACAGTTTATTCTGTCTGAATACTCACTCTATCAAACCTATACAACATCATTGCACTTATGCAAAGAAAAACTGACAAATGATTGAGTTAATAATTCATTTTCTTTCAGCTAGACTATGAGATCAGAGGTCATCAAACTTTTTTAAAGAAGGCCAAATAGTAAATATTTTAGGCTTGTAGGAAATATAATTCTGCAGTTGTGGAAAGCAATCACAGATAAAACAAATGAATGGGTATGGTATCGAGTCAATAAAACTTTATTTACACAACAAGTGGCCAATCCATGGACCATCGTACGCTAACCCATATGTTAAAGTACTTCAGTCTTTGTGGAATAAATGAAATGAACCAGATAAATTACAGGTAAATTTGCCAAATATATCTCTATCATCAAGAAAATTCTTATTACAGAAATATCATATTCCTGTCACTAAAAGTAATGACTTAAAAATATGACAATTCTAGCATGCAAATCAAAACAGACATCTGGCTCTGTAGTAAGTCGAACTAGTAAAAAGAATCCAGGGATTTATTTTTTTTTACAGAGCAAAAATGCAGGTGACAAAACTTATAAATGTAACAACTGAGAATCTAATTTCTTATAATCTTCTGCATCATTCATAGCTATTCACTCTAGAGAATCCATTCTGTAGCAGCAGAGGAGAATCTTAACTTAAAGCACCAAGTTTCCAGGCATTACTAAAGTGTTTTTTCATTCTCTAATACATGCAGTCAAACTGCCTATGAAGCAAATACCAATTCATCTTAAGCTTCAATGGATAAGGGAAAGCAGTTAGGAAACCAACATTATTCTTAAGTCTAAAAGTGATTCTACCTCTTTACCTTACTTCTTTCCATAAAAATTTTAACTTTTAATGTAGTAATATTTAACATAATATAAATTGAATTTTGAACACAATCTCTTTCAGATTCATCTAACAGTTTAGGATGTTCATATTTGTTTTGTAATTTCTGATGAAAACAAAAAACACGTCTAATCTATAATATTCTGGCAGATTTTATTAAATGTGAAATTTAGAGTTTTATAGCAAAGTAATCTGTCCAAATTATAGATTAAAATATTCCTTAATTTATGTAAATTAAGATACAAAGCTTATGCCCATTACATTTTATAGAACTGTATTTTCATTTTTTCAAGCAGCGTTCAATGGGCAGATTTAGGGTCTTGCTAACATCAGCCCTATTTACCCAGAGATTACTGGATCCACTAAATGGGCAATGAAAACTGGTTGAGGCTGCTGATGAATGCTTCAACAGGAATCTGATACACAGACACAGATTTCACTGTTAGAGGCAATGGAACTGAAATCTTCCTTAGAACTGTGCTCCTGAAATGCTGAAGATAGAGTAATGGACGTTAGTTCTTTATGCCAAAAATGCACGGATCTGCTGTGCAAAGGTGTTATTCTCTGCCTGTAGTCAGTAACTTGAGGGCTTTCTGAAGATTCTGCACAGCAGTGCTGACATCTTCATACTGCAAAGCGCTGCCAGCATATTTGCAGTATTTCTGAGCTCTAGCAAAGTCCTCCGGTGTAAGACGGATATCCCCTGGAAGACAAAGAATAATTAAAATATTAATAAGAATATAAAGCTGTCTGTTTAGGATAGGTAAATGCTTGAATTCAAGATTATAGAAAGTATTAGAGGTTATGTAACAAGATAAATACAACTGGAATTTTCCAGTTCCAGTTGTAGTTATATAAATTTTCTCATGCTATCAATTTCTTTTTTTACTAATATAAATCATACACCTGGCTGGTGTGGCTCAGTGGATTGAGTGTGAGCCTGTGAACCAAAGCGCTGTAGGTTCGATTCTCAGTCAAGGCAGGGGCCTGGTTTGTGGGCCAGGTCCCCAGCAGGGGGCACAGGAAAGGCAACCACACATTGATGTTTCTTGCCCTCTCTCCTTCCTTTCCCTTTTCTCTAAAAGTAAGTAAATAAATAAATCTTAAAAAAACTAATATAAACCATACATATACCAATACATAATAACCTACATGAGCAAGATTTTTCTTTCAGAAGTAGTAAACTAGAAGCCTTTATATTTTGGCAAATTAATTACAAAAACTTATACTCTGGAGGACAAGGATACCAGCTTTGGTGTTTATGCTAGCATCTCTCTGCCTCTATTTTCATGGAACAATACACATAGACTAAATCACTCAACCCTCATTTGAACTGGAAATATAACCCTCTTAAAAAAAAAGGAGTAACAGTTTATGTGAAAATATTACGTAAGTTGTTTAACTTTTTTTACGCATAAAAAGATATTACATTTTTGTGCTACCCATGTAAAAAACCTTTAGGGTTTAACAGAGGTTTTATATCATTAAACTACACAACTGAACAAGTAAATCACCCTTACAAATTATCTCTCCAAAATGTATTTTCTCCACAAGTTTCCTACTTACACATTGTGACTGATGTGTGTAGGGCCTTTCTAAATAATTTGAATTAAAAACTACACTAAATACATTTCATAGAATCTAAGATTTGAATATACTTGAATATAATTTTCTACAGATGAAGTTAAATACTGACTTTGTATTTTGTCTTCTGAAATACCATTTTCCTTAAAAATTTTGAGGATTCTAGAACTGATCAAAAGGCTAGGGGCATGGACTAGAAAGAACAGATAGTATATTTTGTTACCCATTAAATCTAAAAAAAAATTATCCTGCAGTTCTGTGGACAGTTTAGTCAGACATACTTCAGGTTTTGTTTTTTGCTTGTAAATACCTACACGATTCTTAATATACGGTTTTTCAACGCATATTAAGAGGCTCTTGCCACCGAACTACATATATCTAGGTAACTGAGACACTTTTAACATTTTAGTTTATCTTAACACTGCTCATTCTGTGTTTTAATATTCTTATCCTCCTATTATAGGACAATCTTTAAATATATAAGGCATCCATCCAGAATTTACTGGACTTGCTGGAAGAAAGCCCTAATGCTCAGAACTAATCTTACATTTATAGCATTAGCTTTAGCACTATTTTGCTGACATATCACTTATATATTACTCAGATAAATGTGTATAGTGTCAAGAACTCAGTTATTATATTAGTTTCATAAACTAAACTTATCTACTAATTATAAAAGAATTTTAAAATAGATACTGATTTTTCTTACAAGTATTTCAGTATTTATAAAATGTGAAAGTATTTTAACAAAAAATATAATTAAAGGTATATAATAAACAGACATGTATGACAAATTATGTAACTTAAAATATAACTAGATAATAACTAACTTATAATTTAGATAAAAAATATAAGTTATAGACTTAGATAGAGATGTGATGTTTTCAACCATCAGAAATATAAAGAACTTAAGTCATTCAAATAGTTACTGTTAGTATTTTGTAACAGTTCAGGCTTTCCTTCATTTAAAAAATATAACGTACAAGTCACTAAAATAAAGCATTTTAATTATAATTTTTAAATAAAAATAAAATGTCTCCTAATTATTTTTCTTTTAAATTAGCATTTAAAAACTAAATAATAGAAGTGGAAAAGACAGGAAGGGAAAATAGTTCAATTTCATTTTATCTGATTTTGTATTAAAAATAGGAAATACTGACTAATGCACAAAACTAAAAGGTGTTTTCCTTTCGTTAAAATTTGCCAGAATCAGAACCAGAGGTAGATAATATGGCGACCCTAAAGGGTGTGTAAAGGATTAGAGAGACTGTTTAACACAGAGTCTCTCTTATGAAATCTGTGCTTTTAAGTTCTGGATGGCTTCGGATAAGACTGTCCGTATCATAGACCTAATTTTCCCTTCTCAGAGCAGGACAAGAACAGGGGCAGAAGACAGCTGGAGCTATCCAGCAAGGTCTCCGTTATGCTGGAAAGACGGCCCTGGTCAGCCCTGGATCAAAGGTAACGTCATTTGGTGAAAAGGGAAATCCCTCCATGCCCACTTGGCATAAGCATCATTTTCCAAGGCTGACTTGTCAAGTTTCCAAGGAATAACACTTAATTGTAAATATTTCCAAAATGGGTCTTTAGAGGTCCTTTCCTATTTAACTAGGTAGTTCTAGAAATTCATGTCAAGGACCTTGGACACTCTGATCCTAATGCATCCTATGATTCTGTGACATTATGGATGCACAGGCGGAATCGTAGGGGAACCACCTGACCTGCAGCCAGCTGTGGAGGTAAATGCAAAGCGTAGTAGTATAATCTTACCTTAAATCCAGGCACTGCCAAGACATGACACGTAATACTGGCAGTAACAGTAGCAATGACTAGAGGCAGAATTTTACTGCCTCAGGTACTATGCTAAAGGCTTTCTGGTATTCCATTTACCTCTCAAAAAACTTTATGAGGTGAGTTGATGTTCATACTGATACTATATAGAGGTACACAAGGTAAAAACGTAAACACTGTGTGTCAAATACCTACCTTTTCCATTTCATTCTCCTCTCCAGAGAAAGCCAAAGTTTTATTAGAGAAATATTTAAAATATATTGATACTAATACATACATTATGTGTCTCCTGTTAAAAGGCAGTAAGTACTAAACACTAAGCAGAAAACTGTGACAGGAAGGGGGTGCCAGAAGTTCTAGAGGTGGCAGTGATGGTAGAGATGGTGGTTGTGAAACCACTATTTATTTCTGTGGACTCTCTAGGCTTTTCCTCTACATTTACATACACACGTACACATAGGAGAGTATGGTTTTAAATGTTTTTCCCCCCTAAAGAGGGCCATACTATATAATGTTCTGCAAATTGCTTTTTTACTATGTCTAGATCTTTTCCCATGGAGTTATCATGTTTGTTTAAATATGTGCACAGTATTCCTTAGTATAGACACATCATAATTAATTAACCACTTTTTCACTAATAAGCACTTAAGACTGTTTTTTATTACTACAATGACGTTGACATAAATATAAACACATATAAACACATTTTATGCCCATGTCTAAGTATTTTTTAAAGATAGATTCCTAAAAGTATAATAGCTGAGCCAAAAAAAAATTGTATTTGCAATTCTGATAATGACATATGCTCCTGAGAAAAGCTTTACCAATTAACAGTCCCACCAACAGCACACAAGAGGCATTCTCCGTTTTCATTAACACTGTAACTTACAAATCAATTAAAATCTTTTTGTTTCTATTTAAATATATAGTCACCTACACAGTTCTTGGTTCATGGAGACACCGTTACTTTCAGCAGAGAGTACACAGTGCTCTGCTTCAGACAAGCATGTATCTCTGGCCATATCTTCCCTAACTTTCATTAAATTCTGAACCAACTACAGATCAATCTTTTTGCTGCCATACTAGTAAGCCAACTGAGTACAAAATTAGAAAAACACAATTTAAGCTATTCATGTTACGTTCATAATGATATCAACGAGGTAGATGTGATACATCCTCCCATTCCCCTTCCAAAAAAAGTTCTCCTCATTCCATGACTGAGAGGCGGGTAGCTTCATGTCCAGTCCCCATTCACACAGGGAGAACCGGAAAATCCCATGGGAAAATGGACCTGCAGACGGCATCAGGGCAAATCCAGTAACACAACTAAAAATAACAGAGCAATGTTTCATTCTAAACAAAAAAAACTAAATCCCCTCAGACATATGAAGAAAATTTGAATGAGCGGGACCAAAATAAACACAACAATGGACTGGGAGAAAAATAACACAAAAGCTGGAAAAGAAGGAAAGATTAAAGTCAACAAACCAGTCACCTAGCCTATGAACTAAGGGTCATCAAGGAACATGTATAAAGGACCCATGGGCAAAGCCAAAGGGGGCAAGGATTGAGTAGGGGAAGTAGGGGTGAGGGGGGCAGGGGAAAGTGGTGGCAGGAAAATGGAGACAACTGTACTTGAACAACAATAAAAAAAATAGAAAGAAAAAGAAAAAAAATTACTCTAAGAGATTTTTATTTTCAATTATAGCCAGTTCCTCTCTTCTTGAATAATCTAATCACTGAGTGCCCTTGAGAAATACCATAATCACAACACATGGTAATCTTGAACTAAACTAATCTAAGCTTCCTTGATATCTTTGGCTACGTGTTTGTGCCACTATATATCAGCAATATGTGAAAAAAGAATGGAAAAATAAAAGAAAATTAAATGGCTTTGGATTTAGGTATTTTGATAACAGGAAACAATCTTGGTTTACTGGAGAATAGAGTGAACAAGGACATTCAAGGAAACGAGCTTCAAATTACCTAGACATTCCAAAGGTAAAATGATAAAACCACACCTCAAAACAAAAGATACACTATTACTCATAAAACAGCCAGCTGGCTTACCCTGGGAAACTGTACTGAAAAGCGCAGGATCAATGGCCGGAATAGTTTGTGGAGTAGGTTGGATGGTATTAGTTGTTACACCTGCAAATCAGAAAACCACAGAATGGTATTAAAATTTTACACCTCTTTAATTGTATACTAGGAAAGCACTTAAAGAATCACAGAGGAATTGCATTGCTTCCTTGAACCTTTAATGTATTCTAATTTGATAGAGTTATTTGATGTTGGAGACTGGTATAGAAAATATGCAGGAAAATACATTCTGAGTGTTTACATATATGTATTGGCTATACATTTCCTTTTATGTATTTTGTTTGTCATGTCTAATGTTTCAGCGTGCCTCTTAATTAAAGCCTACCAAGTATCTATACAAGCAATGACACTCCTTTCTTACCTACTAATTTCCTGGTCAATTAAATAATCTGGGGTCAAGGTGGGATACAATTATGATTTAATTTACCTTACAGGATAAGTCCCATTTCAACTCTCTGCATTAAATTAAAAATTATACATTCCTAATTTTCCAGTTAACACATTTTTAAGATGATGTTTTTGTATATCCAATAAAAAATTAGTTGTGATTTACTATTGTAACTTGTTATGGCTGTCGTATTCAGAGAATAACTAGCATTCCTGACTAATGCTAAGTAATATAAAAGTAGAAGATCACTAATCATTTAAAAAACACAAATTATTGAAACTTCCCAGAGAGGCTTAAATGATTCAACTTAAATGATTCAATCTGTAAGAAAGCAAATGAACAAGAAAGTTGATTACTCTAAATCAATGCACTCAAGTAGAAAACAGGATTCATTTGCTCTGAGCTAATAGGTTAAATTCAAATTGGCAATTTGTAATAAGGGTAAAGTGAGAAAACAATGAAATAAAAAGGAGGAAATAGAAGAAGGAGAAAACAAATGGGCAAGTTTTTAGGAAAACAAAAACAAAGCCAATGAGCTTCCTAGCACAATGGTTTCAAAAAGTCTGACTTAAATTCTAAAATATAGTCTGCGGTTTGAAGTTTTTACTTTGCAGGACTTTCTTATTATCAATCCAAAAGAAAAAATGGCTTAAATATATATGCTATTTTATCTCACTTAATTTTGATTTAGGGCAAATTAGTTTCATTTTACCCCTTTGGAACTCTTAAGTCATAAAAATATTACGTTCTAATAGTCAAAAAATTGAACTAATAAAAAATTTAAAAGTACAAAGGAATACAAAGAGTCAAATATAATTTTTAAATAGTAAAAAAAATGCATATGAACAGCCTACTTCTTATTCCTACTCAAGGCCACTTTAGGGCTCTGGGCAGTTTCTAGGGCACCCTTCCATGTACATACAAGCATGTATGTGTCCACCCCAATGTATGTGTATAAAAATGAATGTTCCATAACCCTCTCATAGAACCATCTAGATATCAATGCCATTCCTTGCTAAGTAACTTGTGTTTCTGCCCAAATTAAAATCCTCCAAAGAAATCCCTTTCTCTATGGAGAAGGCACACATAACTTATCATCGGCATTCTGCACCAATTTTTAAATATTATCTGTGTATCTCCATATGTTTGGGCAGGCAGTATCAATTTACAGGAACAAACAGAATTTACAGGGAAAAAATGTAGTTATGTAGTAAAGTTTTATTTGAGCAGTATCAAAAAAATAGGTAGTCTGCATTTAATTAAGAAATTCTGGTCACAGTCATTGAGCTGAGCCTTGAACTAGCAACATAGGCTGCCAGCCTTGGTGAGAAGATGCTGCTTCAGCTGTCCTGACACACAGGAGCCAAGGCCGGCCCTCTCGGCGACCCCCGTAACGCCTTGCCATGGGGCATAGCATCCTAGTACTTGCCCACTCTGAGTGCATACATACCAGTCAAATCTGTAAACACTGTTTTCAATGCATTTTCATTATTTTTTGATATGCCCAAATCTAGTTTTTTTCCCTTCTCATTTGGAAAGGTCTCATTTGTCAATTTGCATATGGGCTGCAGCCCCCCCTCATAGTGCAGTAGGTTAGGTGAACATTCCTAGGGAGTTGAAAATATTTTTCTATTATTTAACAAAAAAGAATTATAAAAAGTAGTTTTGGTTAAGTTTTAAATAGTTACATATCCTATTAGATGGAATTAATAATACACATTTAAGAATCAAACACTGCAAGATTTCTAATTAAGTACTAAATTGTTCTAGTGACTAAACGGTGTGGAGAAAAATAGGTGTTGATAAGTAGAGAAGACTATCCAAAAAAAGTATAATTGAAGAGAAAAGTAGTAGCATTTGGAGAAGCAGAGGAAAAGGCAGCAGGACATGCTAGCTATTAAGAACACTAAAGTAAAGGTAAGAACACAGGAGGGTTTGGGTTGCATATAAAACATCAGTATAATCACAGAAAACAGCATTGATCCAAATGATTAGGCCAGAATATAAACAAGTTTGAAAGCTGTTTAGAACTCAAACGCGGTACTGTTAACATTTAGAAACAGTGAAAGTTTTTAATATTTACATGAGGTAAGCTGCATTTACAATTAAAAGACTAGCATTAATTATAAAATTATTATTTAATCTACTTAGATTATTCGCTGAAATCTTCCTCTATATTCACCAACTGTAGACGTGAGTGTCTGAAGAGAAGGAAATCAGTACGCGCCGTACTGCTCCCATCTGACTACCATGGTCAGGCACAAGAGCAAGCTCACAGCCTCTTTAAACAACCGCAATCCCTACTCTCGCTGCACTCCCATTACTTTCTTGTGGAAGAACTAAAAACTGTATATTAGTACGTACTATTCTTTTCAGCTATCTTAAGGATTTCCCTTTGATAAAAGTGCATCCTGGACCTTTATATGAGAGAGAGTAAATCACTCTTAAAGTGAATAAGAGGGGAAACATCTGCTATATTTATAAACTAAAAATCTTATTTCATTTTCTATTAGGCAACAATAAACTGCTTTTTTAAAAACTGTTTCAAATATAACAGAAAAAAATTTTGCCAGCTAAGAGATGATTCTAAATTTCAATTCAACCTTAGGCAGGGAATATGTATCAGAAAAGTAGGTTTTGATTTGATTAGAGAAAGGGAAAAAAGGAAGGTACTAAACATGAAATAAGGATGACTTCAGTTCAAACTCTGGTTCTGTTATTTACTAGGTAAGTTAATACTTTAATTTTCTTGGGATAATTGCCTAATTTCTTTACTGTTCGTAAATTAAGGATGACAAATATATAATATAGTTTCTTTACAAATATTTATAAAATAGCTATAATTATTTAAATGCTAAGTCTATAAGGGTGTATAAAGTAACAAGATATAACCTTATCTTAAGAAAGTCACAGGTTTTTAATTTTATTGCTTCTACTATGAGAAACAAAAGAGAGAAAAAAAGAAATATGGTCAGAACTTGACTGGATCAAAATGACCAATTCATGCCAGAAAAACACCTAATAGAAGACTATCTCCTATCATCTATTTTTATGTGATGCATTTTCTAAGCAGGAAATATTGTCTGTTAGTTTGAATATATGAAACTACCAATATTCTATCACTTTTGTTGGACAAAAATAGCAATTTCATATGGTTCAACTTGATATAACCCTTCTACTGGAAGTATACATTCCCTCACATATGTACATAGAGGACATCTACATATAAAATATGTATATTTAGCTATACCACTACTGTGCTCCACGATATATTGTCTAAAGCAACGCCCCTCAGACAATCTTTTTAGGGTCATATTCTATCCCCAAATGTGACACTTCCTTTGATTCACAAAATGATTTTGATTGTTCATTAACCTGCTAATAAACACCCTGTCTTTCTTTGGCACAGAAATAGGAAGGAAGAGAGGAAAAAAAAGGAAAGGAAGCAAATGTGCTGATTTGCTTATTTGTGTCAGGCACAGTACTAGTCAATTTTCATTCTTTTTCCCTTTTAATAATTAAAACATCCATGAGATGTTTGATTGATTTCAAGTATGATTGATTTCATTTTAGAAAGAGGAGAAACCTAGGTCAAAAGCAGATGAATAACAGTGAGCTTGTGGGTTAGCAAGGGGTAGAAACTAATATCCAAATTATTTGACTCCAAAATGCATTTTATTCCCACTTCATCCTTCCACAGGGATGTTTCTGTGTGCAGCTCTTGATTAGTGTTAAATTTAGTAGTGTAACTGAAACAGTATCCATTTAAGACTAATACACCTAAATAGCTGGTTTTGCTTATATCATTCTACAGGAATTTTCAGTATCTCTAAAAGATGAAATATTTAGAACAGTGTTCTATATAATTTTACTTACAAACTAATTTAAATTGGCTTGGCTATTAATGCCATCACATAGACAATAGAGCAATAAAAGGCAGAGTAAAATACACAGAATGAAGGATGACACAAAAGAGATCAGTGTTAAAACTATTACTCATGTAAAAATATCTTAAATGGTTTTGGTAAACTGAAGCTGAAAGTCATGAAGTACTCGTGTATTATGTAATAGAAATGGTAGAAATCAGGACTCAAAGGACGACTCATTCTACCAATTAAATGTTTTGAAATATTTGTATAGTTTACTGTTATTGACTTTATGTGGGGTGACACTGGCTAATAAAATCACAACAGGTTTCAGGCGCACAATTCTGTAACACATCATTTGTGCCCTGTGTTGTGTGTTCACCACCCCAAGCCGAGTCTCTGTCCATCACCGTTTACCCCGTTTCCTTCACCACACTGTTGTCCATGTCCCTGAATTCCTCCTCCCTTTTTCCTTTTTTGCTCAATCCCTCCGCCCCCTTCTAGTTCTTCCCCTACAGCTGTCAGCCTGTTCTCTAACTCTGAGTCTGTCTCTATTTGCTTGTTTGTTTATTTTGTTCATTAGGTTCCATGTATGAGTGAGGTCATATGGTACTAGACTTTCTCTGACTGCTTATTTCACTCAGCATAATGCTCTCCAGGTCCATCCCTGCTGCTGAAAGGGTAAGATTTCCTTCATTTTTATGGCTGAGTAGTATTCAACTGTGTAAATGTACCACAGCTTTTTTATTCACTCAAAACTTTTAAATGCCATGCAACTCATCTAAAAATAAACTAAATGGTTTGAGTAAACCGAAGCTGAAGGTCATGAAGTACTCCTGTATTATGTAATAGAAATGGCAGACATCAGGACTCAAAGGATGATTCATTTCGTCAATGAAAGGTTTGGGAATGCTATGTACTTTACTACTGCAGATTACCCTTATGCTGAAAGTTAAAATTTTAATAACAATTTTCATTAAAAATTTTTAAAAAGTTAAAAATTAAAGACTTAAATTATGGCTTTAAATACCTTCTATTTGAAGTAGGGGTGATGCTATGTTAACAATGCAAGTAGATGGAAGAACATCTCTTTGCAATTTATAAAAAAACTTTACCGATATTAGTTTATGGGAGGCTAATTTTGTCAGATCTTTTTTCTATGAAAACACAGACATGCAGTCCTCAATCATTCCAAGATGGTAGATACGACTTCCCTGTTTTTAGTCACATATTTGTAATCTTAAAAAAAAAAAAAACAAAACAAACCCTCTCCTTTCACTATGTTGTGATTCCACTGCTACTGAAATTCTGTGCCTCCCCTTCATCCATAACACAAGGGCAGCGCAGTGTCCTCAGTTGCTGAGGCAGAAAAGCTGAATCTTGCTTTTGCAGCGAGACGTTGACTGACATATCCTATGAGTCCCTCTCACCCCAGTGCTGTTCCGGGGAGGGTGGGGGGGGAGAAAAAGAAATCAACAACACACATGAAAAGAATAGAAGCTATTCTTATTAATATAAGGTTGATATAGTAATCAATATACGTAAATGTTCTGTCTTTTCTCATAAAATTAAAATACAGTCAAACCTTGATCTCAAACATCTCCCATCTCAAACAATTTGGTTCTCAACCAAGTTGTTCACGGAAAAAAAAATATATCGGTTGTCGAAAAGTTTGATTCTCAACCTGGCAACACTTTCATGCTAATCCAGCATTTCTAATGGGAAAAAAATGATTTGGTTTTTGAACAAATTGCTTCTCAAACAGCCTTCTGGAATGGAATAAGTTTGAGAACCACAGTTCCACTGTACAACTGATATTAATATTTCCATGAAATGACTTAACGTTTTGGTTTTTTTTGTGGGTCCAAATGGAATTTAAAGGCCTTGCCATGCTTCATGACCGTCATTATGAGGCACAGACGTGGTAAGCAGTGTCGTTCTTATCTATGAAAGGAGAGTTCCAAGCCCGCTGAACTTTAGTTTCCTACCTGCGCCGTGAGGCACTTCTGCCGGGGTGTTGGCCGGCGCGTGGGCACCGGGAGGAATCTGTATCCCGGTATAGCTGCTTGGCGGCATGTTGCCGGGGTCGTAGGCTGACGATGACGGCTGAGGTGGCTGTGTGGGCAGAGAGGTTGCTCCAACATCTTCGTTTTCTTCAACATCTATTAAAGAACATACATGGCAAAGTCAGACTAGGTATTCTGAAATAAAAGTGCTGAATGTTCTTATTTGCTATACAGGCATGACAGATCTTCAAATCCAAATCTATTTAATGCTGCTGATAAGCACGTTCTATCTTTTAAAATAATAGTTTTAAATATTCTAAAGTTATGCCTGACAATATGATTATCATTTCTTTTACTTACTCCAATTCTATAAAATCTTTGCATATAGTATATTCTTCCTAAAAATAAACTTCCTTTAAACCCATTCCTTAAACATGTAAAAAAAATGATGCTTTTAGCAAAACATGTCACTTTTATGTTGCTCTGTATGAACTCTATTTTCTGACACTGCCTTTTTTTATTCAATAGCTATTATTTATCAGCTATTAAATGGCTGTGGTTTGTTGTCCAAATTATTAAGTTAATCAACATTTTTTCTCTGATCAACATATTCCATGTTCAATATAGATAAGTTTAAATAAACAAAAATCATCTATATACTACTCTACGATACTCATTTTACTAACCCTAAGTAACCCTGTAGATGTAGTCATCCTATATATACAACACCATAATTTTCTCCTATGTCAGAGAACGCCAACATTTACACGTTCTGGGAAGGGAAAAAAACCCCATTGTTTAAAGGCATGAAGAATAACCGAAAGTTGGTAGAAACTACAGGGAAGATGACTCTTGGGAGAAGAAATCTTACAAGGTAAGAATTCCTTTTTTTGTGGCTTTTCACTTGAGGGCACTTAACCGTCTGTACAAAGGGAAGTGTTGCAGAAAAGTGGGTCTTAAAATGTGTATGTGAGCTCCAACTAAATACTTATATGGCCCTCAACTACGCATGCACACTCAGGGAAGACTCTGGGAAGTTTGAAAAGCAATACCTTAAAGAGGAAAGAAAGAGGGGGAGTGTTTGAGTTCAGGCAAGTTGATTGTCTGTTATAACAAGAATCAAGACTTCACAGAGAAAAATAAAAAAATGCAAAGGAGTTACAAGATTGTTTATTTATCAGCAATAAAAATGAATAGAAATTTTGGAGGGAGAAGAAAATGTGACCAGAGTCATGAGAAAAAAGACAGTCTAGAGAAAAAAATCCCTCAAATGACCCAGATATTGAAATTAACAGAAAATAACTTAAAACTAGGTACTATATCATAGAGAAAAATATAGTCATAATGGATGAAAAAGGAAAAACTCACCAGAGAAAACTGTAAGAGGGAACAGAAACAGATGAAACTAACAAAAAATAAATGGTAAAAATATTAGCCTTAAATTTAGTTACAGCAATAATTACATTAAATGTAAATGGACTAAACACTATTTTGAAGATTGATGTTGACTGAAAAAAAAAACACCTATATGCTTTAAGATATATCTTTAAAATAAAAGGGTGAACATAGGTATACCATGTAAATACCAAGCAGACAGAACCTGAAGTGCTAATTTCAGTAAAAATTTAGATTTCATGTCAAAATATTTTTAATTTATTTTTTAAAGAGAGGGGAAGGAAGGAAGAAAAAGAGGGAGAGAAACATCAATATGAGAAAGAAATATCCATCGGTTGCCTCTCCTCCATGCCCTAACCGGGGACCAAACCTGCAAATATATTAGAGTGTCCTTTGGTTTGGAAATATTTTTTATTTTTTAAGATTTTATTTATTTATTTTTAGAGAGGGGAAGGGAGTGAGAAAGAGAGGGAGAGAAACTTCAATGTGTGGTTGCTTCTCGTGTGCCCCCTACTGGGGACCTGGCCTGCAACCCAGGCATGTGCCCTGACTGGGAATCGAACTGGCGATGCTTTCATTTGCACGCCGGTGTTCAGTCCAGAGCCGCACCAACCATGGCTGGAAATATTTTTAAAATTACAAATGGATTGTCTGTTCTATGCAGGAATGAAATCTCACTAGAAGTAAGAGACAGCCAAGCCATTTTGTTGACAAAGTTTGACATTAGAGGAGTTTGATCCAAAATTTATGATTTTATATCCAATTGTCATGAATTTTGGATCTGATGGGGGACACAAAATTGTAGAGTTCCTTCAGAAAACTTTAAATAAGAATATAATGGACAATTATGATTCTACTAAGTCATTTTACTAGATAAATAAATACATACCATTATCTTCTTCAATTCCAACAGGCCCTGCTTGAGGAGTCTCTCCATTCTTTAAACAATTATGGATATACGTTGCCTTCCACCTTGCATACTTTCTGTGTTTCACATTCTAAAAGAAATATTTTTATATCAGTATTAGACTACAGTAAAAAAGTCAAGTAAAAATATACATTTATGATAACCTATGTCATAGTTTCTAAATAAAACCTATATTTGCACTAACAGTTTTTTGAAAGATTCTGGCACCCACCCCCGCCTATCAACTGGAAATGTAACACTTAGGGAAGAATACCAGTTGGATTCTACCAACTGTCTAGGGCTCGACAGGTGTCATGAAAAGCTACCTTCCTCAAGACACATGCTAGTTCTCTTACGGTTTTGAATTTCAGGGAAAGTCTGCAATGGAAATATGGGAGAGTCCTTCAAGCAAAACTTGCGACTTTTATGCACAGGGAGAAAGCTAGGCTAGATAAAATTCTAAAATGAAATATGAAAGATAATAACAAACTGAACTATTATCACTAGAGAGGAAAAAATTGATTTTAGGAAAACTGAGATGATATAGTTACTGGACCTTGGACCAGTGGTACTGGTATCAACTGGGAGCTTGTCAGAAATGCAGAGTCTTCAAGCCTGTATCAGAATCTGTACTTTAAAAAGATCCTCCAGGGATGTGTATGCACATTAGAGTTTGAGAGAATACAGTTTTATTATGTTGAAAACAACTGTTATTTGCCTTTTGCAAAGATCCCCTAAGTCTCATGAGTACAAAAACAGCATACAGTTCAGATCCTTAGTTGAGTACTTTATGTGAAATTCTCTAGATACTACAGATAAGTAGTATACAGAAACTTAAAAAGTAAACCCCCAAATAACTGAATTTGTGCCATATTTAATTTCTCTTTTTTTATCAAACAACCCTCTTATATATTACATTTTTAAAAAGGTTCTGTACATTGATTTCCAATTCCCAGGTATGATTATAATTTGTTCTACTAACAAAGAAGCTTTTCAAAAGAAGTATTTACAGTCTTCATTCTAGAGAGAAGTTTCTCTTTATTCTTATTTGTTTGGCTATTTTTGTAAAAAACAAAAATCAGAGAATTTCAACGTGCCCATGCCTTCCAATGGTAGGGATCCCACACGTGCCAGCCTCCTCTTCATTTAGTCATCGGTTCACTCGAAAAACTCCTTTTGCTAATTCCACCAACAACCTATTCACACTGGTAAATCCAATGGACACCTCTCAGGCATCATCTTACCAAACTTCTCAGTAGCACAAAAAACACCGAACCATTCCAACATTTGTAACACACTGTCTATTCCTGGTTTTTATGACACTCTCGTCTCCCAGGTTCCCTCCTATGCCCTTTCTTAACTAACCCTCTGGCTCCAAAACTCTTACATACCCTGCCCTAACAAAGATTTTAAACTCGTAGACTCAATCAATGCTGGCCCACAGAGAACTTTAAATAGGAATTGGTTTCCACATAATTAAATACTACACAAGTCAAAGGAAATCCCAATTCCAAACTTCTTGTAAAAAATGGAAGACCTGGAAACGCACGGCCCACGTTTACTTGGTAATTATTCGCTGAACTAGGGGCAGTCTCCTTCGGCCAACGTACATCCAGTGACACTCGTTCACTCTCTCCAGTTCACAAAGTGCAGCAGCTGCCTTCTTTTAAAAAAAAAACAAAAACAAAAACAAAAAACAACAAAAAACCTTCCAGTGGGCTATTTACTACCTACCAGATTCCTACAGCATTAGCTCTTTCTTGACTAGGTAACCTTTACTGTCTCAAGCCTCTGTATTTTCTCTTGCTTCTTGCTGGCATCTGTAAAATTCATTCCCTTATCTTCTTAAAGGATTTGCTAAAATGTTGCCTTTTCAATGAGGTCTTCCCCAACCACCTTATTTAAACCAACTCTTCTATCTCCACTTTGAGTTTCTCCATGGCACTTATTAATCTGTTTATTGCCTGTCTCCACCCCAGGAATATTATTCCCCCGAAGACAGGGGTTTTATGCATTGCGGTATTACTAGTGCCTGAAACCATGCTTGATTTATAGTAAACAAATATTTGGTGAGTGAATGGATTTCATGATTTTCTTAAGGAAAAAAAAAAAAACATCCAGTGCCCTGAATGACTATGAAGATGGCTATCCCGAAACCATACTATGAAGAACACTGAACTGCAGTACATTTTTTTTTTTTTTTGCATCTAGAAATGTGACTAGTAACCTTGAACACAGTTTGACCTAGACTTTCAGGGGAGGGTCAGTGGACAGGGTTGAAGGTGTCTGTGAAACTCTCTGAATTATATGCAAAAATTCAGTATACATATATGTGGGAGAGAATCTATAGCTTTCATAGCATTTCAAAGTAGTTAGTGATACAACAGAAATTAATAGTCAGTCACTAACTTGGTGGTAACAACACATTTATACTCTTAGTCCCCCAATTCTGCCAAGTATATTAAGCAAACAACAAGGCCTCTATAAAACGCCCAGGAACACTGGACATAATAAGAAATGCTTCAAAAATACATATTCAGCAAGTTTATTATCATAATGACTTATTCAAATATTTATAATCACAAGTTACATGTATTTTCTAATAAAGATTTATTCAGCCTTTTTTGACTTTTATATTTTTCAAAGCAACTAACACTTTATAAAACAAGTTTTAAAAATTAGAGTAACATTGTATCAAAATACCCTAAACATAATACACAAATACCCAAATTTATATAACCATAAATATATAAAAATACATAATACAAAAATACTTAAATTTAACTACTCTATTTTTATAATAATATTTGGAATATACACTTCAGTTAACCAAAGATGGTAGAAACATTAACTGCTTAATGCAAAATCTACTGGGGTGAGAGAAGGAACCAATGTTATTTTTTGAAACAAACAGAAAACCAACACCGCCCCAACCCCCACCCTCGCCCTGAGGTTCAGAGAAAAGTTTAAAAATAGTAAAAGATATTCCCATACGCTTTTCACTCAAGTTCCCCAATTGTTTATGCTCTTCTTTGTTTTATGAATCTATCAATTTATATATACAGGGTGGGGCAAAAGTAGGTTTACAGTTGTGAGTACACAAGTTTATTCTTGTATTATTAATTATTGTATCATTTTCTATACGAACTGTGAACTTACTTTTGCTCCACTCTGTACATATAAGCATACTACTTATGATAGAATAATAAGTAATCTGTTTAGTTATAAATATGCATTTTTTCCTGTACCATTTAAGAGTGAGCGGGAAGTCACTGTGACCCTAATGCTTTCATTACGCATTTTCTGAGATCAACAACAATCTTATACACAATGGCTATTACAATCAGGAAATGTAACACTTAGGGAAGAATACTATCTGATCCACCATCCCAATATATTCTGTCAATTGTCCAAATAATGTTCTTGGAAGTTACTCCTCCCCTGGGTCTAATTTAAGAAGCATGCATTTAGTTGACATGTCTTTTCAGTCTTTAATCTGGAACAGCCTTTGTTAGTGTTTCTTGACCCTGACATTAAAAAAAAAAAAAAAAAATTACCAGCCTATTAGTAAAATGTCTATCAGTTTGGATCTGTCTGTTGTCTCCTCATACATTTTTAGCAGGACTGGCACTGAAGTGATGTGTCTTTCTCAGTTGGTCCCGGTACTGGTTGAGCTAGGTTTGATGCCTTGGTTAAAGTGGTGCCAGACAGGTTTCTCCATTCTCCTCTATTTTCCCTTTAAAATTAATAAGCAATTTGAGGAAAGATATTTAGAGACCACTATAAATATCCTCTTTATCAAATTTTCAACCTACTAGTTTTAAACTCCACTAATGATTTTTAACTTTATTTCTGTACTTCTTCGTAAGAATTCTACTGTAAAGAAACTTCTGTTATTCCATATTTCATTTCATGTTTCGGTATAGATCCATAGATTTTTATTTTATTAAATGTTTACTGTCTATTAATATCATTCTTATTTTGATGCTCTAATTGTCCCTGACATGGACAATGGAAATCCTTTCAAATTGGCTTCTGGATACTTTTGACATGTTCCTGTGATTATGTGAACACTTCTTTATTTTCTGGTACAAGAAGGTCCGGCTTCATTTAGTACTTGTCCTGACACATCCCTAGATTCAGCCCGTTCTATAAGAATCCTGGCTCTTTTTATAGGTGATGGTATTTAGAACCCAAAATCAGGCACTAGGGTGCTCATTGCTATTGACCCATCACTGCTTCCAGATACTTTCAGTACAGAGATATAGGAACTATGTTTCATGTGCATATATATACACAGCTATGATATATGTGGTATACACACAAATGCATGCATATATTGTATAAACACACATGTGTAGTATACATATATACCATCTATATCTATCTATCTATCTATAGCAATTTTGCTCCATTAATCTAAGAAATTAGAATGGACATCGCCAATCCAATTCTAATTTAACACAATAAAATGTAGTACTTCCCCATCCCATATTTTATGTTCTTCCCCCAGAGGTGAGAAATCTGGCTCCCTCAATATATTTACTCTCTTGCTCAATCCTAGTATATGGAGTAAGCAGTTTTAGAATTGACAACCTAGTATCATCAAGAAAAAGCAAACCTATATAAAACAGTTCAATATTTAACTATTTTTGGTAAAACTGGTATACTTTGATATGCAGAAACCTTAAATGTATAATTTGATGAGCTTTGACAAATGGATATGCCTCTGTAAATCATACTCCTATCAAAATATAATATTCCTAGTTCCCAAGACAGTTCCTTTATATCCCTTTCCAGGTCAATTTTCCCTTGTCCACCCCCCACACCCGTGCCAACCCTAATTTTTTCACTAAAATAAATTTGTCTTTATATGAAAGGAACCATACAATTTCCATTCTTTCAGTCTTTTTCCTCAGCATAATAACTACAAGATTTATTCATGCTGTAGGGTATATCAGTAGTCTCTTTTTATATTTTAATAACAGCACAATTTATTTATCAATTCTTCTGTTGGTGGATATCTGGGTTGTTTCCAGCTTTGGGCTATTATGAATAAAGTTCCTATGAGCACTCTTGAACAAGTCTTTC